GCACAGCCCGGCGAGCTGCGACCGAGCCTGTGGGGAGAGGTGGGTGTTTCGGCCTCTGTGCGTGCAGGGCTGGTTTGTTCCAGCTCGCCGCCTGCTGCCCCTACCCTGCCCCAGGCAGGATGGGCCTGAGCGTGTGGGGCTAGGCTACCGCTGGCTGCATCCCCTGCCGTGCCCCTGAATTCAGCACAGAACTGCTCACGGGCCCAGCTGTGCCCAGGGCAGAGTGGGAATTTCCATGGTGGGAGGCCAGTGGCATGCTTGCCTCTGCCTCGGGCAGGGCTGCTGGCTCCCAGGAATGCAGGAGAACCGGATCCAGCACACGCCTGCCCCCAGCCTGTTTGCTGCTCCTCCCTGGGCAGCAGTCGCACGCCAGCTGGGGGGGGGAGGCTGTGCCCAGTTACCCACATGCCATGCTAGCTGCCTGGGCTGCTGGCCCGGCGGGGCAGAGGGGACAGGAGGCTGGCACTGGGCTCCAGGGAACATGGAACCCCTTGTTCTCCAGCTGTTTCAATCGCCCCTTGCTGCTTCTTCCCATCCCTCTCCTGCCCAGCTGACAGTTAAATGTAAAATGTATTGATATATTCAAAATCATTAATGTTGTGGCATTTTGCATATCACTCAGAAAAGTAAGAGTTCTGTCACTGTCTGTCTTGTAGATTTGGGAGTCTCAGGGCTGTGCTGACATCAGTAGGGACCCTACAAGCACAAAGGTTCCAACCGTGGCTTCAGCTTACTAGTTACTCCTTCCAGCAGGTTTGGGGAACCTTCTTTGGGTAGGGGACTGCTGACCCTCACTGATGTGGCCCCTGACTAACTCTAAGGAGAAAGATGCTCCCTATGTTCCCCTTGCACACCAGAGCCTAGGGGAGCCCAGGCTAGTAGATTTTGTGTGCTCCAGTCCCCACAGTAGGGCAGCAGGAGCGTTGGAGCGCCTGTGCAGGCTCCCCAATGCTAGGGGGAGCTCTGAGCCTTGGGGGCCAGATCCAGGCAAGCTGGGGACTACATTTGGCCCCAGGACCTGAGGTTACCCACTCCTGCCTTATAGGTGACTCCACTAGCTAGTCTGACCTTGAGTCTTTCCAAATCCATCTCCCAAAGTTCTTTACTACCAGACACCCAGGCTATGTCTAGACTGCAGGTTTTTTTCCAAAAAAAGTGGCTTTTTTTCGAAAAAACTTCACCTGCATCTAGATTGCCACTGCATTCTTTTGAAATTAAATCAGTACATCTCATTTTACGAGGAAGAACGCTTTTTTTCAAAAGTGTTCTTTTGAAAAAAGGTGTTCTTGACCACAAACAGGGCTTTTTCGAAAGAGAGCATCCAGATTGCCTGGGTTCTCTTTTGAAAAAGCAGATAGCTTTTTCGAAAAAAGTCGTGGCTGTCTAGACAATCTCTTTCAAAAGAAGCTTTTTCGAAAGATTCTTTCGAAAAAGCTTCTTTCAAAAGAAGCGTGTAGTCTAGACGTACCCTCAGAGTTTCTCCCTCTCTGGTTCATCATCTCCAGAGGAGTGAATCCTGCTCCCAATTATCAGTTCACTTTGGTACATATATTCCATGCAGTCTACATAGCAGAGATATATTTGGGGGTAAAAATCAATAGTTTATTTAAGAAAAAAAAATCTTAGATTCAAAGATGAAATGGTGAGCAAAAGCAAACATATATTATACATAATTTTTAAGTCTAATTAACTTTAGTGCAAACGCTAAGGGAAGAATGGACATCTAAATATGTCTTTCAAAAATATGAGCTGATGGTTGTCTCAGGAATTGAATTCCATAATTAACCCTCTGCAGTACTATGTAAATGAAGGGATGGAGAAAAAGGAAGAATGTTTTGGTATGGATTTAGGGGTACCCTCAAGATTTCTGGTTTTATGGCTTATGAACAGGTAGAAGCATCACAGAATAGGTGGCACTTAAGATTTTGGGTTTGGTTAGTTGTGATTAGGCTTCATTTGTACTGTGATAACACCATTCCAAAGCTTAAAAATCTTCACCCAAAGTTTTTAAAAGACTGCATTCAAAGTACCCCTCATTCCATAAGTGAATGCAAATTATCTGCATCTCACACACACACACACCCCTGCCCCCATAGACACACACTTTTCTATTGCAGGAGAAAGCAGCATTCCACATTAAGGATTTGCTCTCTGCTGTTGGGAGCTGAACGGCAAGCTCAGCTGTCAGAACATTCTAGAGTTTTGAAATCGGAGAAGTACATGGCTCTGTAGAAGTAATGCAGAGTGGCAAAGTTAAAAACAGTGAACAGAGTGGTTACAGGGGGCATTGTGGGACACTGGGGGAGGTCAAGTATAGCTATATAACAAATGTCAGCTCCTACATTCACGTTTTGTCACTAAATTTGCAGCAAAAAGCATTACGCCTCCCTTTGATGTCACATACCTCACCCCCACACATATACATACACCCGCACACCACATACATCCCTGCACACACATACATGCACACCCCCCACACATACACACCACACCCACACCTCTGCTCCCATACATATACATACACCCGCCTGTGACAGGGCGGTCGCCCTGCACTGGCCCTTTAAGAACAAACCCCAGCCTGGAGCAGGGTCTGGGAGTTTGGCCCCAGCTGAGGCCAGGTTAGCTGATTGGGGCCCAGCTGGGACCCATGCTCCGGCGGTAGCAGGAGGCTCCCTGGAGCTAGGGCAGGGCTGGGGGAGCTCTGGCCAAGCAAACCCCCAGACTGCAGGGCCTGAGGAAGGGCCCGCTGAGGAAACAACCAACCCCGGAAGGGGGTTCAGACTGCCGGGGGCAGTGCCGGAGGGCAGTGTCCTGAAGAGGACGCCGCAGCCTGGAGGAGAGAGGGGACACACCACCGGAGGGAAGGTGCCCTGCCAGCAGAAGAAGCTAATTCTGTGGACGGCCGGCCGGGGGTGCTATGGTGGTGAGTGAACCCCCTCACACCCCCCTACATACATACACCCCCACATCCCTACCCCATACATATATCCATACACACACCCTCACACACATGCACCACACACTCACACTCCGCCCCCCCCCCCAGACTACAGCACACAGAGCCTGCACGTTGCC